ACTGTTATTTATAATAGTAAAAATAACCACCAATAACCTCCTAAAGTCATCAGCTTCCGACAAGTGTCATAATGCATGTAGTCACTTGCTAGACGAACGCCGCTTGTCCTGCTTAGTCAAGAGAAAGCATAACTATTCCCTCCGCTATTTGAATTTCAAAACGTCACTAATATTCAGCCAATGTCTCGGTCGAAGGTACTTTTCCTTAATATTTGGAAATTTCTCTAAGTCCCAAAACACTTGAATAACCTATCCTGCTCGAAGGTCTCCACGCTCGAAGTCTTTCACTTTCTTTAAAGACCTTAATATTTTATTCAAGTATTTTAATCTAAATATGATGCGTCGAATTTGTGAGCTAACACTTTGCAAGCATAGTCAGAAAAGGAAAGGCAGAGGAAGCTGGAATGACAACAAAGGTAGAGGAGGTTACAACAATTTGACTGGTCGAAATCAGCAGGAAGGAAACTGGTCGAATAAGAGAAAACCCTAGAACCAAGGCAACCAAAGAGGTGGTGCTGCAGGAAGAGGTGGTGGACGAAAGCCTGACAAAATTCAAATTTAGTGTTTCAACTGTCAGAAGTATGATCACTATTTTAATGAATGTTAAGAAAAGAAGAAGAATCATGAAACTGATGCAAAAATGGAGAAGCATGAAGAAGAAGAGATATTGTTAATGGTCACAACAAGAAACAAAGAGAGATTCCAGAACCAGTGGTACTTGGACTCAGGATGCTCATCACACATGAATGGAAGGAAATTTTGGTTTGTCAACATGAAGCCCTTTTCGAAGAACATAGTGAAATTTGCAAACAATACTCTAGCAGCTGAAGGTATTGACGATGTTTTGATTATGAGGAAAGATGACAAGAGGTTAATAATTTCCAATGTGTTGTACATACCAGGCATGAAGAGTAATTTGCTCAGTATATGACAGCTAGTCGAAAAGAACTACAATGTATCGATCGAAGACAAGATGATGAAAGTTCTTGACGCAGGTGGTAGGTTGATTTTAAAGGACCTAATATCTCAGAATAGGACCTTCAAGATTGAACTCATTGTGATGGAGCACAAGTGCCTAGAAACTGAAGCCAGAAGAGATGAATGGTTATGGCATTTTCGACTAGGCCATCTCAATTTCAATGACATCATAGAGCTAAAAAGAAGAAATATGGCTTCAGGATTACCTGAAATCGAAATTCAAAGTGAAGTTTGTGAAGAGTGTGTTCAGTCAAAACAACACAAGAATAGCTTCATCAAGGATACAGGAAAGAATTCGAAGGCAATTCTAGAAGTCATATACTTTGATGTATGTGGCCCAATCCAGGTGGATTTGATGGCAGGCAACAAATACTTTGTCACGTTCATAGATGATTACAGTCGACAGTTGTGGACTCACCTCATCAAGAAGAAAAGTGATGTGATCGAGGTATTTGCAAAATTCAAATTTATGGTCGAAAGATAGAGTGATCGAAAGCTGGAAATTCTGAGGACTGATGGTGGTGGAGAGTATGTGTCGAAAAAGTTCGATGCATTATGTGAAAAAAAGGATTATGCATGAGGTGGTGCCACCCTACACTCCACAAAAAAATGGAATTACAGAAAGAAAGAACAGAACCATCATGAACATTGTGATATTTATGTTGAATGGAAAGCATCTATCCAAAGAATTATGAGGAGAAGCAGTTTCAAAAACAACATACATATTAAACAGATGTCTGACGGAGAAGCTTGAAGGAATCACACCAGAAGAATATTGGTCTGGTGTCAAGCGTAACCTCAGTCACTTGAAGGTGTTTGGATCTATAGCACATAGACATGTGCCAGATCAGTTGAGAAGGAAGCTTGATGACAATTCGAATCAAATGATTTTGATAGGATATTATTCGAATGGAGGTTAAAAGTTATTCAAACCAGTGAATAAGCAGGTAGTGATCAGTAGGGACATGATCATAGATGAGCTTAAAGAATGAGATTGGACTAATAATGTCAATAAGGTTTCAGTGAGAATCTCTTGTGAAGAACTAGCCACTGAAGTAGAAAGAGAAGTTCGACAGGGACAAGTCAGATATGAAGTTGGCCCAAGCTGACCTCAACGAACAAGACTCATGCCTGCAAGGTTGCAAGAATGTGTGATTATATCAGATGATGTGGTCAATGAAGAAGCTATGCTTTCTATGCAGATGTCGAATCAGTCAATGCAGCTGATGCATTGAAAGATTCGAAGTGGGTGAAAGTAATGAATGAGGATTTAGACTCCATCGAAGTAAAAACACCTGAGCATTTGTCGATTTGTCTCAAGGCAATAAGGCAATTGATGTGAAGTGGGTTTATAAGGTGAAGGTGAATCATAAAGGAGAAGTAACTCGACACAAGGCGAGACTTGTGGCAAAAGGATTTCTTCAGAAGGAAGGAATCGACTTTGACGAAGATTTTGCACCTGTTGCTAGGATCGAAACAATCATATTATTTGTTGGTCTAACAAATATGAACAATTGGAACACATGTCAGATGGATGTGAAATGTGAATTTTTGAATGGTCCCTTAGACGAAGAAGTTTATGTTGCACAATCAGCTGGGTTTGTGAAACGAGGTGAGGAAAGAAAGGTGCATAGGATGCACAAAGCCATGTATGGACTTAAGCAAGCCCCAAGAGCTTAGAATACGAAAATCAACATATTCTTAAAAGAGAAGGAATCTGTGAAGTGTAAGATTGAGCATGAAGTATACGTAAGGAGAAGCAATAGTGAACTGCTTATATTATGCCTCTATGTCGATGACCTGTTGATAATAGGAAGTTGCAAGAATGAGATCAAATACTTCAAACATAACTTGAGTGAGGAGTTTGAAATGTCAAACTTGGGAAATCTCTCATATTTCCTTGGAATCGAATTCTACAAGAGTAGTAGAGGTTTAATGATGCACCAAAGAAGATATGCAGGCGAAATACTCAAGATATTTGAGATGCAAGATTGCAATCCAACATCAACTCCAGCTGAGACCAGATTGTAACTGTCGAAGGATTCAGATGAAGATGATGTCGATCTAATCCAATATAGAAGACTTATTGAGTCACTTCGATAACTTTGTCACACAAGGCCTGACTTAATATACAATGTAGGTATGGTAAGTAGATTCATGTAAAAGTCAAAGGTATCACACCTAGCAGTGGCGAAGAGGATACTGAGGTATCTAAAAGGGACTCTCGACTACGGAATTTTATTTCCTGCAGCTGATGAAGGAAAAGAATGCAAGTTAGTGGGATACACCGACTCTAGTTAGTGTAGTGATGCTGAGGATAAAAAATCTACAATTGACTATGTGTTTATGTTAGGTGGTGCACCCGTTGCTTGGAGTTCGAGAAAGGAGTTAGTAATGACATTGTCATCATACGAAGCATAATATATAGCTGCTTCTCTTTGTGTATGTCAAGAAACCTGGATGGTGAACTTGGTCGAAGGGATCACAGTGAAGAGTCATGGAACAATTACCATGAAGATCGACAACATGTCAGTTATCAACTTGGCAAAGAATCCAATATCACATGGTCGAAGCAAGCACATCGGAATGAAGTTCCATTATCTTCGAGAGTAGGTAGCATAAGGGAAGATGAATTTGGTACACTGTAGAACTGAGAATCAGATTGTAGACATCATGACGAAGGGAGTGTCAGTCGAAGTGTTCAGATGGCTAAGGTCTATGATGAATGTAGATAACTTAGACACAATGAATTAGGTGGTGTGTTGAGATTGTAATTTCTTGTGTCGAAGCAGTGTAGCTCGACAAAAACAAAGATTAGTCAAATTAGCCAAATATGTTGTGTCGAGTTGCTTAATGTGTCAAAGTGTCGAAGCAGGTTGCTTCACACAGGATTTCGACTTAAGTCTATTTTAGCAATGTTAGTTATTTTGGGCTTTTATAGTTTTGAGTTTTGACTTGGGGTGCAAGCAAACCTAAATCTATAAATAGGGAGAAACTCTTATTTTGTAAACAACTCATCATATTTTGTAATTCACAGTTTGCAGTTGCAAGTGAAATAACAGAATTTTCACAGATTATGGGCAGAGAGTTCTCTGCAGAAAATTGTTCATCTTCTTTTTCTCCAACGTTTACTTTCTTTCTTTCTTTCTAAATCTTTTCATCGTTATTACGTGAGTGAGAACAATATTGAGATCAAGATTGATTGAGTGAAATTCTCCATACATTGTGGTTGAATTTTCAACAGTATATTGAATTTAGGCATGAAAACGAGGCGGGTCAGGGGCGGGTTTAAACAACCCTGCACCCGTCTTCCTGAAACAGACCCGCCCCGCACTTGCACTTAGTCGGGGGTGAAAAAATACCACTCAGACCCGTCTCCAATGGGGAACGAGTTCCCCGCCCCCACTCCGCCCCCATCCGCAAAACTATTTTTTTTTTTAAATAAATATTTTTTTCATAACAATAAAAATTAATAGTTTTATTAAATAATTAATCATTTTAATAATACACATGTTTTTAAAGAGTAAAATAACTAATAAACATGTTTTTCTAATAAAAATATTTTCAAGTATTAAAATAACTCTAATAAATATATAATAAAATAATAAAAATGTGACATAAAAATAAATTAAAGTAGACTGGGACGGATAATAACATCCCCACCCCTGTACCCGTAATAAAATATCGGGTTTTACTCGCACCCAATTAAATCAGTTTTTTTCAGTTAATTTCAGGGCGAGTTTGAATTTTATGACTAATTGGATTAAAAAAAACTTAAACTAAAAATAAGATGATTTAATTAAAAAGAAAAGAGGATTATGAACCAACATGTGATGAAGTTGACAAAGTGGGACCCGAGATCATACATGCTATGCTAGGATCGCAAATAAGAAGGAACGTATATTAAGGAGAACCGAACACGAGTCAACAGTTAGTTTGTGAGAAAAGAAAATGAAGAGAAAATAGTAAAGAAAAAACTTTGAGTAACAACTAACAACAAGTTTGAATCTAACATTTTCAAAATGGAGGCATCAAGTGGAGGAGGAGGATCAGAAGAGAAAGGAATGTTTGAGTATTTCGGTTGGGTTTATCACCTTGGCGTCAATTCTATTGCCCATGAATTTTGCCACCTACGTTTCCTCTTCATTAGAGGCAAATACGTTTCCATGTACAAGCGTGATCCTCATGAGAACCCTGGCATTGTACATTTTTTCCCTTTCATTCTTATTTTTCATTTTCATTTTCAATTCAATCTTTGCGCTATATCAATAAAAAACGGACAATGAATGTAGTGTTTAACAGCATTGGTTTTGTTCGTAAAAAGGATAGCGGCGCAGTTTATTGTCCGTTTGCATGCTATTTCTGTGTAATTTTGATGATTACAGCCTAATTACATTTATCTTCTCTTTAGAAACCTATTAGGCAAGGTGTCATTGGTCCCACACTCATGGTCGAGGAGCTTGGCCGTCGAAAGGTTAACAATGGGGTAATTATCTTGTTTTTGCATTGATTTTATTATGACATATCAATGGATATTGGATTGTAGATTAGAACTCATCTCTGCTAAATTTGATGTATACTAAATGACTTTCACTTTCTTCCCCAGGATTTTTATGTCATACGCTTTTACAATCGATTAGATGAGACCAAAAAAGGAGAAGTAAATTTTCACTTTCAGTTCAGATTGTTTCTTTTAATTCCAGTTGATAGAAATCTGCTTCATGTATGGCATTCTTTTAGCCTGTGTGTAAAGTTTATAAACAACACAAGTTATTTATGTCTGTATGGAAGAACTTATTCATTTTAAATTGAACGAACTTCTTCATGTTGTGGTGGGTGCTGTTGGCTTTTTGTTATTCAGTATAGAAATAAGTTTTTTAACTATGCTTTCTTCAAGGTTGCTTGCGCCACGGCTGGGGAAGCACAGAGATGGATGGAAGCATTTGAACAGGCCAAGAACCAGGTATATGAGAAAATAACTGTAATGTTACTTTTTCAATCCATAATACCACAAGTGAGTTTATTCAATATATCCTCTTTGCAGGCTGAGTATGAGCTGTCAGTAGGAGTCAGTGCCAGAGACAAACTAAACCAGGAAACAGAGTATGCATTTTCTTCTCCACAACATATAATTATCAAACCATCTGATAGATAAACATGAAGAGGTTAGGTATTAATTCTAATTGGTAATTGTTAATGAGATTTTTATTTTGCACGTAAGTACTAGAGATTTCAATACTCTTAACCAGCGTCAGCGTAGTTTGCGTTTTTTGTCCTCTCTAAAGCCTGAGTGCAGTTTTTGTCCCGCAAGGCCACTAATTTTGAGCATATTTAATCTCGACATTTTAATTGATAGTAATAAGTCTCTCCATCACCTTTCTATTTAAAACTCTCGAATTCTTATTAATATTAATGAAAGATCTATATAGTCTTTGATCCATTTTTAGGTGGCCTACCTTAGAAGTCATGCTTTTATAACTTGTCATAAATTGGCATATCAATTCTCTTCTGTTGTGGAAGGATCAATCTAGAAGCACATCGACCTAGAATGAGGCGGTATGCATCTGGGCTGAGGAAGTTTATAAAAATCGGCCAAGGTAAGTTGATAAACATTGTTTGATTGGTAATATTCATCGGGGAGCTTTTAATTTTTTAGTCATAAGCTTAACAATTCATGATGTGTATATATGATTCTCTTATGCCATCATTACATTGTGGTTGGATTACATAAACCACCTGTTATATATTTTACCACAATGAGACAATTTGCATGTTTACTTTCTTATTTTAAATGGAGATTTAGATTATTGATATGCACAAAAAATGCGTAAACTTGTAGTTGCAATTCTGAACTTATATAGTTTTTATTCTTACATTATTTTTTCTGTTTCATTTTAAAGGCCCAGAGACGCTTTTAAGGCTATCATCAAAGGTTTTTGGTAGTTCAGATGGGTTAGAAGGGGATACTGGAGATGCATTTGACCCACATCAGTGGAAATGTGTTCGAACAATGTCTGGTACTTTTCTTTTACCATACACTCATATATGGCTTGAAATAGGGTGTAAAATTGTCAAAATAAAAATCTGTTAATAATGGGATTCTGTTTTGAGATATGTCCCAATGAACTTTCTCTCGTATTTCAACATGGTATCCAGAGAATATACTAAGAGAAAAATTTACTGTGCTTACTCGTTGACACACTGCCTTCCGGTTTCCGGTGAATTTTCAACATGGTCATTCTTTGGTATATTTGGACTGATATGATAATTGATGATGATTATGCTAGCATTTGAAGTTTGGATTTATCCTTATCCTTCCAGGTGCTTTTTATTTGTGGTTTCAGGTATAAGAATTTTTGAGGATATTACTAGTCACAAGGTATGTATAAGGTTTTGGGCATAATGCATATATATTTAAAACTAATTAGGTTTGCAATGTGTCACTTTAAGTGAAAATACAATGCTTAGCTTTAACAATACCATGTTCAGATATACACTCTGTCCTTAAATTGATCATTTTAGTTTTAGGAATCAAAGAATGTTTTTATGGCACATGAAATTTGTGTCATTCTGCAGAAAATGAATCTTTGAGAGTTTGGACTTAGGATCTAACTAGACCACACAAAGTGACATGTAAGGTTAGGATTGTCCTAGCTTTATATACACTGCTTAGGTCAATATCTCTAGTCAACTTGAGACTTTCAAACACAAACCCTCATTCTTGTAACTGGCCTTCTAAAGCATGGACTAATGTGGGTGGAGTAACAACGACCTTCTTAGAATTTGGGGTTGGACTAACTAAACCTTACAAAACCGACTTGTAAGGCGAGGATTGCTCCTACTTATAAACATATGTTCATAACACATATTGTCCAATGTGAGACTCTTAATAGACTGACTCACGTCCAACACTATTGAGCTTGGTGCATGTAAGTGACCTGATAGCCGAAACTTGATAACAGGTGGTCCAACGAATCTTGAATCCGACTCTTACACCATCTTAGAATTTGGGTTATTCATAACTTATCCCTACTAAGTTGACTTCTCAGGTATGAATTGACCCTACTTATAAACATATGTTTAGGCCACATATTGTCCGACGTAAGACTCGTAACCGTTCTCAACATACCTCTCACACCCAATAATTGACATCTAGAGCATGGACTCCTGCCAGGGGAATAACATTGATCATTGCCTGATAACAAGTCTAGAATAGACTCCAATATTGTCTAAGAATTCGAGAATCTACGCAAGATCGGGAGGGGTTTGAAAGATCCTAACTCGATGATCATAGCATGTGTCTCAAAATCATACTCATAGGAACACAATATACTTATCTGCACATGCATAAAAATTATCAGATGAAAAAAATGATCTCTAAATCAAAACATAAACAAAGTTCATAACCATTAATTTGAAATTTCATAACCATAACCATATCCATAAATTTGACTTTCAATGAGATGTGTTAGGAGCAGTCATAATGTAGCATGCAGGCCCATAAGAAGAATTGATCCATAATCACACTAGTGAGCCTAGGATCTGGAAAGTGTTTTTTCAATGCCTACTGCTAAGCATTCTCTATCTTCGAATTTCTATGATGTCATGTCCCACATTTTTGTGTCTGAATCTGCACTTATGTAAGGATCCTTTCTTTGTGTAAGAAAGAATTCCCTAAAACTGGACAGAATGGAGTAAACAAGAAAATGAGTTTAACTTGAATAAAGATTGATCAACAAAGTTGAGAAAAGATTAGTTCTTTGAATATGTTTTTGTTACCATCAACTGAATGGGATGATAGGAACAACTATAGAGAAAGAATTACACATAAGGGTACCTCAAAAGAGCACTCTCCTATGACACTAGATAATTCTCTAGTCACAATTAATTATTCAAAGCTATCCTTCTTCTCTACCAAATGAGCATAATTTAGAAACCTTCTAAGAGTAACCAAGATAACAACTCTTAACAACCACCTAAAAACCTTATCAACTTAATAACTAACTAACTGTTTTTTAGCTAATTCAATTGTCCTATATTCCATATCCGAAAAGCTTTTCACATTGAAAATAAACAAATGATGAAATGAGTATTTTACTTTATTATAATGGGATAGATACGCGTCTGTGTGTACGTTTTTTCTTTTCTGCTTTGACATTTGCTTTATGCTTTGTAGAATGGTAAGGGTGTCCTCGCTAAATCGATGGGTGTTATTGATGCAACTGCAGACAATGTTTTTGAAGTGTTTTTAAACACTGATCGGAGGAAAAGATATGAGTAAGTTTTCTAGTCTTCATTGGATTTAATACATATTGGGTGAATTAGTAATTAGCATATTTACTTTTCAGGTGGGATATGTTGATGGGTGACTTGGAGCTAGTAGAATCTTACGATGGACATTACGATGTTGTTTATGGGACATATGATCCTAAGTATCTAACTAGGTAATCAATTGTTCTTAAATCTATAACTTTAAAAATTATTGCAACTGAATTGCTATAATAGTATTCTAAATTGTAAATACTTTCATCAATAATAATAATATTCAAATTTCCAATAACTTGTCCGTTTGGGCGTCTGAAAGGTGGATTGTTATGATTAATAGAGATTTACATGAGTTGATGAATTTACCTGAAAAGATATTGACCTCCAGTCTTGCTTTTAAAATTGTCCGTTCATGAGTTTGTTTTCAAACCTAATCCAGATGGCACTCGAAGCGGGATTTTATCTTCTCTAGGCAATGGTTTCATGCACAAGATGGAACATACAGTAAGAATCTGAAATGCAAAGTGGTTTGGTTACTTGGAATCATATATTTATATTATAATCTGACTAGATTGTTTTAGGCTGACATACTTGATTCGTTCAATTGATGCAGCTATATTGCAATTTCCAGCAATACACAAGAAAAAGCCGCCCAGATTAGGCTATCGACGTACAAAAATTAATCGTAAGATATATTATTCGTGTAATTTAACTTCTTTTTTAGGCTATGGAATGTAAGAATAATCACATAAATTTGTTCGATGCTTGGCATGTTAAATTTTTTCAGACAGAAAGTCTTTCTTTAAATTCAAATCAGTATTGAAATCTCGATAGAAGAAAACAAATACTTAACATTACAATATATTTGTTTGTGATTGATCATTCACAAATTTTATCAACATGTGTTTTACTGTGATGCAGCATCTACATGGGAGATTAGAAATTTGAACACACCAATGGGATCGAATCTACCAAGATGTTTAGTGACCCACACATTAGAGATACACTCTACAAACTGGCATCGATGGAAGAACAGCCAGTGCACAAAATTTGAGAAGAGCATCCCTTATGCATTGTTGTGTCAAGTGGCAGGTAAAGGAATTAAACTTTTGTTTTCATCTTGTTTATATCTGAACTCTAGAATCCTTGGCAATTCGAACTTTCAGAAAACGTGTCTTTGATATAGTGACATTTAATTCCGGTTAAACAATGGTAGGTCTAAAGGAATATATTGGAGCCAATCCAGCACTCCAACAAGATACTGTTACAGTTGTTCATTCCAACATCTCTAGTATTTCTTTGTCCAGAGCTGAATATGAAAATGCAGAAGTCCAGGATGAATTTTATGACGCAATGTCTTCTGAGTCATCGACATCAGATGAAGAAAGTGACGAGGATGACGATCGTGAGAATAAGGTCTTCTTAGCTCTTGTCAGCTACGGAAAAATCTGCAATACAAACTAATATTGTTTGTGTGTTACTCCTCTGCTATGTAACACGGACACCTCTGAAAAACGGCGTGTCCGTGTCAGTGTCGGACACCTGCACCGACACTCGTCATTACGTTTAATTTGGTCATTTTTTCAAATTATTACTGGTGTCACCATGTCAGTGCCAGGGTCGTGTTTGGGGTGTCCGTGCTTCATAGCTCCTCTGAAACTAAGGATTCTTTAAAACTCTATAACTTAATACTTTGTCAAAATTTTCAGGATGGAAAGGTCAAACTAAAGAACATTTCATGGGCCATAACAGATTTACCTTTGAAAAAAACATCAGGTCAGCTTTTTCTGAGTCTTGTTAATTGCAGGGGAGAAAGGGCCTAAAGGCATTAATAATATCCTTTATGCAGCACTGAAACTTACTCTTTTGTTTGGATCAGCTACAGCGTTGCACACAGTGCAATGGCCGCTGGATTGTTGAATCTAAGTTTGAATTTTCTCTGTCTTTTGTGTTTCAATCATGCGGGAAAAAGGTTATATTTCCTTTTGATGATTAAAACAACTACGTACACCGGTTTAAATAGAGCTACAACAATAATTTTGTACAAAAAATCGAAGCCTAAAAATCAAGAGCTAATTATTTCCTATAAATGCTGAAATAACTAAGAAAGAAAGAAAATAATGATGCATCTCTAATGCTAGCTATAGAGGACAATATTGCATGGTAATCTTCTTCGAAACCACTGTGCCAAATGCAAAAGTTATAACATAATACTGACTCTAAGATCACCTACAACATTGCACACAGTGCACCGTGCAATGGCTGCATTGCTGTTGGATCTAAGTTCGAATTATAGACACATACATGCATATATTCAAACTTTTAGTCTGAAAGATTTTGTCATTCTGCTTGCAGCTCTAAGTCTATGCAAAGAATTAGATGCTGATGTAAGTCCTATACAAATTGATGCAAATGATTTTCATGGTTCTTTGCGAAAAGGAAACGATGACAATGATACAGACTGTTGGACGTCTCCTAGTGGTGAAGGTTTTAAGATTAGAGGAAAAAACTATCTAAAAGATAATTCTAAGGTGGGCATTTACTCAATATTCAGATCCTTAAGTGTTTTAAATGGTTTGGCGTGACATCTGCAAATATGTTAATTGAGTAAAGAAGAAAAGGTACTAAAATTTGTATCAGAATTTGTACTAAATGTGCTTCAATTTTCACTTATTTTTGTTCCAATGGAGAAACACAGGAATATTGGTAATTTGAACACTTTTAAAATTTTCAAAGATTGAAATCTATAGTTTTAAAGATTTTTAGACGTTGTGAACATATCATGAAATTTGTTATTCAGGTAGTTGGAGGAGATCCTCTTCTCAAGCTCGTAGCAATTGATTGGATAACAGTTGATAAACCTCTTGATAAAGTTGCGCTGCATGGTAGAAGTATGGTTCAGGTACAGTTGGTATTATAAGGCTTTATATCATAAGGTTCTATTTATATAGGTTCACTATTGTATTGTAACGAATCATTCGAAATAAAGTTAAACACTTTTCTGAAGTTGTAAATACTGAAAACAGGACTATGTTTGTGTATTTTTTCTGTATTTCCCTTTTATTAGGACATATTCAGCCTTTATTTTCCTTTTAATAGGACATATTTAGTTTATTTAAAACCATATGCATGATGTAGGCTAAAAGCTCGTGTAATCGAAATTATGATTGTTATGTATATCCCCCCATTCACCATGATATTCTGGAAAACCTTCAGCTGGAGACTTGCGATGCATAATGTTTTATATTAAATAAAATTCACTACACTAAACGATCCTCCTCTTTTGAATTTCAGAGCGAAGCTGGGAAAAAGCTTCCATTTATCCTTGTATTTAATCTCCAGGTATTCATCTCATATTAAGTTTTGCGATTGGAAAATATGTGTATGCTTAATTATAAGTTTATCAGGGTGGTTTTACTTTGTTGTCAATCCCAGGTTCCAGCTAAACCAAACTACAGTTTGGTTCTATATTATGCATCTGAAAGACCTATAAACAAAGACTCTCTATTGGCTAAGTTTTTGGATGGAGATGACATGTTTCGAGACTCAAGATTCAAACTAATTCCGAGTATTGTTGAGGTGTGTGATTCTCGATAAATGTCAGTTTGACCTTTTTGATTGTGTAGCTCATGATTTATAATTGGTAAAGGGATATTGGATGGTCAAGCGAGCTGTTGGAACAAAAGCTTGCCTATTGGGGAAGGCCGTGACTTGTAAATACTTCAAACAAGATAACTTTTTGGAGGTAAAGCTACAATAGAATGTTAAGATTTGTCATGAAAAGTATAATTTGATGCTTGCTATTAAAGTTGCGTGCAATATATGCTAGCTCGTCCTAAAATTGAGCATCAGAATACACATGAAAATTTTCTTACATTGTCATAAATTTTCTGCATAATGCAGATAGATGTGGATATTGGTTCATCGTCTGTAGCCAGGAGTGTTGTTGGCCTTGTTCTGGGATATGTCACGAGTCTAGTCGTTGACCTTGCAATTTTAATAGAGGTTGGGGCCATTTTTTAGTTACAATACTTCTTGACTAGTTTTAATTGAGTTTGTGCTAGTAGTAGTAAACGAGTATATCCAATTGGATTCATCAAACTCCTCAGTCACATATATCAATGGCATATTTGCAGGCAAAAGAAGAGTCAGAGCTGCCCGAGTACATTCTCGGAACTGTTCGATTAAATCGCCTTAGACCTGAATCTGCTGTACCTTTTGAAGTTTGAGGTGATCTAAAAAAATTTATTTAAAAATATGTAGTACACTCTTGTTTCCGTTTTCTGTTACACCGAGGACTCTAACCAGAAATTTTAAGTTTGGTGGATTTCATTCTTTTACTACTAGTGGCTCAGGCTAATGGGCTCAAGTTTACACTTAGACTAATAAGGGGGATGAAAAGGGTGTGAGGAAGTTAGTTAGATTTCGACTAAAATAAGAAAGAAAAGAGGTTAGATAGATATACTATACAATCTAATTCATACTTCATTTTTCTTGTACTATACTCCATATGTATCATGTAATGTGTTATATTAAATTATGCGTACCTCCTTTGAAAATGATTTAGTATATTTGTTTTAAAGATAAAATAACTTGTCTTGACTAAATTACTCTAATTGATGATAATTAGTTGAGTATCTTATATATTAAAGTTGTTAAATCTCTTTATAATTTTTGGTGCTAGAACGAAAGTCAATAATGTAATTTACTATACTTCAAAAACCAAACTTAACTTTCTTTTAAAAATAAAAATATTATCAATTTTGTAGTACAATTTTATCACTTTATTCATAAAATAAAAATGAGCAATAAAGTGGTTTTCTTTTTATTTCAAACTAAAAAACTTTTTTTAGTTTGGGTATTATTTACAGAAATAATATTGGCTAAAACAGAAAGTTATAAAAAATAGAAAATAGATTTTAATAAAATTATTTTTCAAATATGATTTATACTCCTAAAATTATGACTTTAAATAGTTTGTTGACTATTTCTCATAATATATCCTCTCAATTTAAATTTACACACAGTTTTTTAAAGATGGTTATTATATTCCTAACATTATAACTTAAAATAAGCAAAATTTTACCAAACTTCAATTTAAAAGTTTGGGTAAATTTAAAAGTTTGGGTAACAATCTTATTTTTCTTACATATTATATTATTTTTACTAACAAGAAGAAATTTCTTCTATTTTTCTTGCTAATAATTTTTTTTTTTTATAAGTAATGATACATTGAGTAAGAGAGTTCAAGGGAGACTTTAACTTGTATACAAATGACTCTTACGACAAACCTTACGAACCAATTCAAAAGTGCAAGTAACAAAAAATTAGTTGAAACTTTGTACCATTCGAATTAAGAACATTTATTGAATGACAAAGACCAAAAATCTAACCACCACCACGAAAAGAGTATCGACCTATGAACAATATCGATAATATTACCAAAAGCATCATTGAATATAATTTGGTTACATGACCACCAAATAGACCGACATGTCGTAATCCAAATAAAACACGCCACCTTCGATGTAACTTTAACCGACTTTGAAAACTACGATAGAAGATGATCACATATATTATCACAATGAACTGACTCAATGCTAACCCAATCCACAATCTTCATCCATATCTACTTCGAATGAGGACAAGTAATGAATAAGTGATTACTATCTTCCACGACATTAAAACATAAAACGCAAGCAATTTCATGAATGTTAGAGATTAATCCCCTAGCTGCAAGATTGGATCTAGTAGGAAGTCTATCAAACACCAATCTCCAAGAAAAGATTCTTGCCTTGAGAGGGATTTTTGTCTTCCAAATCAAATCTAACACCGTCTTGAGAGTAATCTCTAGCTCCGAAGTCTCATCCAAGTTTTGGAAAATCCGATAGCAAGAGCTTACAGTAAAGCTCTTAGAAACATTACCTTTCCAAACGAATTTATCAGCATTATTCGGATCCAGTTGAACTTTCGCAAGAAGGACCATCAGCTCTTGAAACTCAACCTGCACACTGCCCAGTAAAGCATTGCTCTCAAAACCCAAACTCCACTCTAAAAAATCCTCCACCAAAGTACCCATGTCAGCCTCCGAAGCCCATTTCAAATATGCAACATTATACAATTTCGGATAAACCAACCTCAGCGGCTTTTGATCAAGCCAACAAGTGTGCCAAAAAGAAACCTGACAGCCGTTACCAATTTTGCAAGAAAGTTGTTCCAGAAAGTTCTCAACTTCAAGTGACACCCCTAGTTTTAATAAATCTCGCCACCATTGAGATTCTCTTAAATTAACATTTGCTGCACTTTGCAGTAAGATACGATGATAGAGATTTCGATATCTCGCACACAACAATGCAACCCAAGATGTTGACGAACTCGTAATACACCTCCAAAGCCACTTGTAAAATAATACATTATTAAAGCACACATGATCCTTAATACCTAAGTCTCCTTTGTAATTAGGTCTACATAATTTCTCCCAATTTATCCAAGCTATTTTCTACTTATCACCATCACCGGACTATAGAAAATTCCTTTGTATAAAAATCAATTTAGATGCAACCAAAGACGCGACTTTAAAGATGGAAAAGAAGTGAATTGAAATATTAGTAAGAATTGAATTGAGAAGAGGAAATCTCCCTCTAAATGACAATAATCTATCCCTCCAAATGCTAATAACTTATTCAATTCTATCAATCATTACTCATAAACATTGATTTATGAATAATGAAACAAAATGAAGAACCAAGTACTCCAAGAAATACTCTCTTGCTGAAAGGACGTAGTATGTATGTTGTTTAAAATTTTTAAAACTACTTCATTTGTTTAGCCATTAATAATAATTCATCAATTCACTTTTTTGTTGTACATGTAACAACAACATTAAAAAGTTATTATCTGGAATGTTCGTTTTGAATAATGGTAGAATAACACAACATGGAAATAACAATACACTTCTTGGCAATACTTTTTGCATCTAGACATGCGGGAATCACACAATTATCGGGTGATTAAGTTTTATATAGATTTTCCTTTCAATTTTTTTATTTATTAATTTATTAGATATCAAGTAATTTTCCAGGATTCATCCACTTGGTATTTTTTTATTTTATTTCATTCAGAAAATAGTTCAAAATATTTGATTAAAAAAAATAGTAGAGTAATTTAATATTAAAAATAATATAGAAGCTAAATAATGTTGTAATCAGTCAAGAATCATTAGAGAATTATTTATGCATGTATAGTTATTTATATATTGTCTCCCATAAATCAATTTTGTAATTTTGGTTTCTCATATTCAACACATTAACACGAAAATCAGGTTTCAATCGGCCGTTATTGAACATCGATAATGGTATTATTGTAAAATTTATGGTGTCAAGATTTACTTTATAAAATTTTTCATTTACATTAATGTGTAAATATTTTTATATTGAATTATTTCATTTAATTCATTTTAAAGATGAATCGATAAATTCAAATAACTTAGACATGAATAATGATGGCATTTTATTTAAATTTTTAATTGTATGTGTGTTAAACAAACTATTTGCATATTTCTCTATTTTATATGTTGTTTTTTATTGACATTTAAATTGATTTCTAATGAGTTCCAGCAATTGAATTTGAACATGATTGTTCATGATGGTATGCAAGAAAATGAACTTACCTTACAAAACACAGATTCAAGTATTGATTCAAATCAAGGTATACTTTTATAAATTCATATAAAATTATTTGTTTGTTCTATTATACTATTCTCATGTTCTAAGTATTATTTGTATTAGACTATTGGAATATTGGTGATCTTTCTACAAAATGTCATCATTGTAGAGCATTTATGTTGTATGATGAACAAGTTCAAAAACACTACAAGAACCCCAAAGTTTTATTTATGTTATAGTTAGGGAAAAGTTAAACTTCTAAAATTAAAGCGTCCATCAAATCTTTTAATAAATTTGTTTCATAAGAAAGATAAAAGAAGCAAATTTTTTTTGGATCATATTAGATATTTTAATATGATGTTTTCATTTACTTCATTGGATGGAAAAATCAACACCTATGTCAACGATGGCAATGCCCCACCCATATTTATCATGAGTGGCGAAAATTAGCAACAATGAAGTAGAAAATCAAATGTCTGTTTTTATATATATATATATATATATATATATATATATATATATATATATATATATATATATATATATATATATATATATATATATATATATATATATATATATATATATATATATATATATATATATATATATATATATATATATATATGTGTGTGTGTGTGTGTGTGTTTGTGTGTGTATGTATGTATGTATGCAGTGGCGAATGCAGAAAGTTTTTGAAGCCTGGGCAAAAATTTAAAGACAATAAATTCATATTGTATATATAAATAGTTATTAATCAAAATAAAAAATCTTTAATTTAATTGATATCGGCAGAATTTTAAAACTAACATAGCCATATCCAATTTGAGGCTGATACTAACATGAAATATCATTTCATGTGATTCATAATAATTCTTGAAATTAGCAACAAGTTAACAACATAATTTTATTTACTAACTATTGTAACTACAAACTAAATTTAAAATACAAATTCATAGTTAACATCAATTGAACCATATAATTTAGAGTGAACATAAATTGAAGAATTTGACCTAATATATTTTTTATATTATTTGAGGATAAAATTTATTCTTTTCTTCTTCTTTTTTACAACACTATATATGTTTTTTTTTTATAATTTTAGTAGCTGCTACTTTTATGTTAAATTTTATTTTTTCAAGTATTCATTTTTTGTTTTTGGTTAATTTGATCATAAATAGCAACTTTGTTTTAATTTTGCACTTTTTGTAATGTAGTTGAATCTAAATATTATCATATAAAAAAAATAATATAATGTATGCTTAATTGCATAAAAAAGATTATGTTTTATTTGTGAAAAATGTTTAAATTACGGCGTTTAAAACTGCCATTATCAACGACAAAAAACCGCCTTTTTATTTAATATATATTATGACATGAGAAATTTTATTTAAAAGTACTATTTTTCTGCATTTTCGTTAATTGTGGCGGTTTAAACTGCCATAACAGAACTTATTAACCGCCATAAATTTCATATTCTTTTATAAAAGAAGACAAAATTTTGGGGTCGAGCCCGGGCACATGCCCAGCCTGGTCGGGCCTTAAAACCGCCCATGTATGTATGTATGTATGTATATATGTATATATATTGTTGTAAATGTGTCTTAAAACCTTTATTGATGAAGAGAAATAAAATATATTTTGGAGATTGCATTTATCGCGAAAATCAGATGTTTTAGAAAGTCTGACGAAAAGTCGAAAGGAAAAAAATTGGTCGGTGAATAGTGTCGTCCGTACGGTGAATAGTACCGTCAGTACGGTGAATAATGTTGTCCTTACGGTGAATAGTGTTTTCGAGTTTTTGGGCTTTTTTCGATTCAGTCCATGGATCCATGTGATTTTGGGTTTTGTTTATTGGGTAGTTTCTATTATAAATATGTATCTCTTATATGTTTGGTGTGTGACAATCTTAGAGTTTTCACCAACAATAAAGACTAAGGGTTTAAAGGTATAACATAGGGTTTCAGCTATGCACAAAGAAAACCTTAGATTTACATCTTAGGTTTGAGTGATTCATATATTGAGAGTTGGAAAGGTATGGAAACACTTGGGTAGAAAATATGGTTGTTCATGGTTGTTCTTGGGCGCCTTCAGGGTCGTTCTCAGAAATCTGAAGGCCAAGACTATTTTCTTATAATTCGTCTATAATATCTTGTAAAAACTTTCTGAGTATAGTGAGTTGTAGAGTTGCTCTGTCCTCTAGAGTAGATCGTTTGATCAAATTGAGTAAACAAACCTTCAGTTTTTTCTTACCTTATTCTATTATATTATCTGTGTACAAATTATTATTGTTGTAGACCATTTATTTTGGTTGCTATTGTTCTTTGCCTCACAAATTGATATTGAATTTTGTCGTAATTCACAACAAGATTCATAACAAGTGGTGCGGTGAGCATGGAGCAAATAGATGTTTTTGACAAGTGAGTAGGGGTGTGCATTGTTCTAAAACCAAACTAAATTGAACCAAATATATGGATCAGTTTGGTTTTTAAAACCACTTTTATAAAACTGGTTTATTTTTTCAAAACCAGTTTATGTTTGGACCGGTTTGGTTGATAACTAGTTTGCACTAAAAAATCAGTTTTTGTTTGGAATAGTTTTAAAACCAAATTTTCCTCAAACTTATTTGACTAAAACTTAATTCTTAATCCAACAACTTATTCTTAACTCCATCCAACCATTTTAAAAATTAATAACTATTCATTAGCAGTAAATTGAATTGAATTGAAATAATTAGTAATAATTATGAAAACAAAATGCTAAGAAACCGTAAAAAAAAATCAATTAATTTTCAATCAGAAAAATCTAAATTAAGTAATTACAAAATACTCAATCTCTCTCACATACATATAATTTTATCTCATTTATATAAATATCTCTATATACTATTTTACACTTATCATTTTTCTGACTCCACCCGTCATCACTTTAGTGGAAAAGATTTCTAAGAAAAAACATATCAATTTAATAATTGAATTAATTCAAGGTAAGAAGCATACAAAAACAACTTAGTAATCATATAATTTCAATCTAATAATAAGCATTTAAAATGTAATGTTGAATGTGAGATGAAATACTAAATGCATCATTATGAGACTATGAGAACACAAAGTTCTCTTAAAAAAAGTAATATATATATATATATATATATATATATATATATATATATATATATATATATATATATATATATATATATATATATATATATATATATATATATATATATATATATATATATATATATATATATATATATATATATATATATATATATATATATATATATATATATATATATATATATATATATATATATATA